CCCCAAAACCCCAAAACCCCAAAACCCCATTATTTAATCATTTTATTGAATCAAAACAACTCCTAACCTAACTCCTAAAATCCGCAAAACTACTACACTAGCTATCCAAACAAGCTCCCTCACATTCCCCTTCAACCCTTAAATCCCCATTTCCCATCCCTTCTCACCCCTTCGTCCCTTTTAAGATAAATCCTTCGACCGGCCAAGATCTTGGCCGGTTTCTAAATTTCAGTGTAGAAATATTTTAGGGTTTCAAATTAATGCTAGCAAATGTTCTAGGTTAATTAATCCATAGTATAAGTTTTGTTGTAGGCGGCTCTACGTTTGAATCTAGCCATCCTTGGAGCTTGATGGTTTTGGATTGAGGTAGGCCCGCTCATGAGGTTTATCATGGGGTGTACGGGCTGTATGTGTTGGATGTGAGATGTTTGTTGCATTTGAGGCATTTGCTGCATGTATGGTATTTGTTGCATTTGAGGTATTTGTTGCATTTGAGGTATTTGTTGCATTTGAGGCATTTGGGGCATTTGGGGCATTTGGGGCATTTGAGACATTTGAGGCATTTGAGCCATGTGTGTCATGCATGTCGTATGGAGCAAAGTTAAATTGTTCCCTCTGATAAGAGATCGAGAATGACCATTTACCCTTCTTGATAGGCGGCTGTTGTAATAGTCTAAATCTGGAGTTTTAACTTCTCTTATTTCGTCCGATTTCATTTCTGTGATTTTGACCTGCCTCTTGTTTTCCCTCTTCCTTAGCTTTGGAGGAGATTTTCTAGAAGATTCCAAAGTTGGCTTTGGAGTCTCTTCCTCAGGAAAATTAAGGGATTTCTCAGATAATGGAAGAGTGCTTTTCTTGTTCATTTTTCTTTTTCTCAATCTAGCGCTCCTAGTAGATATTTCAGGAATTTCTTCTTCTTCAATTTTAAGTATTTTAAGCTTGTTCATACGGACTTCTTCTTTTAGAAAAGGTTTGAGTTTGGTGATGATTGTAGTTATCATGATCCGAGCAAGGTTTTTGAGCTCAATATTTTCCTCATTATATTTCATGCAGTTCTGAACGATAAGGATCAGCTCACTTATAAATTGGGCTTCAGACCTGTAATACTTGTTTCTAATTCTTTCAATGATCAAGTTTAGATACATCATGTTTGGGACAATTGTAAGGTAATCTGAGAACATCTTGGTATCCACTTTTTCAACGAAAACTGAAAAATTTGTGCTGAGCTGAGAGTCATTTTCTTCGTCTTCTAATACTTTGAGAATATCTTCAGCATCTCTTCTGAATATATCTGGATGCTTAAGAGAATACTCTTCATCAAGGTTAAGCTGCCATGGGGACATTCTAGTTGTAACTTTCTCATCATCTTCAAAGTATTCAACTAGGAGACACTTGTAGAGGGAATTTTTGTAAACATTTGGTTCGTAATCGCTGTATTCTTTCACTGTTACCTGCTTAGTCATATCGGAAGTGTTGTAAATTTTCCCTATACAAGAGGTCAGATCAGTTTGGCAGCATTTTTCATATAAATCTGAGTGTATTATGTAGTGCTCTAGAGAAACTTCTTGAAGGTAGATTACCTTTACTCTCTCATGCTTTTGCTCCATGAGACCGGGGTTAATCATTGAAACAACTCCATGAACTTCATTGTGGTTGGAAATATTCTCATTTTCAGCAATTGTGGCCATTGCCAGGCTTTCTGGTGTCGGCAACCAGTATTCAACTTTGCTGATCTGTTTCTTTATAGGCTTCAGAATTGGCTTCTTTAAAGTCTTGACTAAGCCTTTGATATGGTCCGAATTTCCAAGAATAAGATATATGTATTTTTTTATAATATCTTCATATCCCTGGTAAATAAAGTAGACAGAGTCTTTTTGTTGGATTGATTGGAGGGATGCCTCTGTTGACTGGAACTCGTACCTTGGCAATTTGGCTAGCTTATTTTGTCTTTTAAACAAATTTTTAGTCTTTTCAATATGATCTTTAATAATTGGGGTTTTGGGGTTTTGGGGTTTTGGGG